GTGCGTGTGCGTGTGCGTGTGTGTGTGTGTGTGTTTGACGGAAATTCATAACTCCTGTTCCCGTGGACGTAGAAATTCAAATTTGATAGGAGTACAGGCGACAGTATGGCCAGAGGGGGTGGGGCGTGGGCGATTGAAATTTTGGAACGTAGGTTCGTAACTCCTGTGCACGTGGACCTAGAGCGTTGAAAATTGGGTAGGAATACAGAAGATGGGATGTGAACACTTATGGCAGGTGACAGGATCAGACTCCGCTTACAGGGGCGGGGTTTGTGCAGAGCAAATATTTGAGCGGAAATTCGTGAACCCTGTTTCCGTGGACTTAAAGAGTTCAAATTTGGTAGGAATACAACTTTCGGATTAACAGTGGAACCTCGGCATCTTTATAAGTGATGTAGGATATGACAGTATTGTCGGTACTCGTTGACGGGAACCGATAATAATTGACAAGAGAAGAGTAGCAGTCTAAGAGAGCAAAAGCCACCTACCGTTCAAAATCCTGACGCATTCGGCAGTTACGATGCTGCTTTGGCTGTTCAGTATGTTTTATTCGATAAGATGAGATGGTAGGGATAACGTCCGTTGCGCGTGTCCGACGGAAGTAGGTCACCCCGCCCACTTCGCGGGCGGCGCAACACAGTGAGGTCTCGAGATGACATTACAGTACCACCAAGTGTCATTGGAGCAAATGTTTTGCATTTGTCTGTGTTATCTTCTCCTTGAACTGACTGCCGTGGACCAAACGCGAAGCGTATGCCCCACTGACAATTGTGACGTCTGTCAAATATCGCGGGCCGACTCGTCGCGTGCGATGGCTGCGGCGTGACCTAGTTTCGACGGACACGGGCAACGAAGCGCACCCGAGATGGTAGAGTAGGGTAACAAAAGGAGTTGTAAGTGCAGTTATAGGGACCCATAAGCGGCAATACGGTAAGCAGATAAAAATTTTGTTTACTTCTTCGCTATTAGATTACGACCGCTACCCAGCAAGGTTTGTGACTCAATGAAAGATCCTCATTGCTCAATATTATTCGCAACAAAACTTAACCGACCGCCAGTTATCTGGAATTCTTGACTAATGCGATCTCTTTAAAGAGAAAGGTTCATTGATAATATCTGATGATAGTGTTGTCATCACTCGGAACTTTTGTGAGTACCGCCCAAAGCCTTGGATACCTAACAGTTGAATCTTTATTGGGTCCTTATTTGCTTGAGAAAGAGAGCAAAAAATCGAAATCTCAATTAAAGGCGTATGCAACAGGCGACTTGCACTGAATACCATTTGCACTGCTCTGTTAGTCCTGTGTCATGATTCGTGTACAGGAAAGTACTATTTGTTTCAAAGATGGAGAGGAGGATTAGCTGATTACTACAAGAAGGAGAGAAGCCCGGTGTTAGCCAGGCAAACCGACTGGTAAAGGTGAAAGGAAGAGATGCCTCTCCAAGAAAATGATTTCATTGTAGTAGATATTCTGAAGAACTTCTCTTAGTGTGTCATAACTTTTACTCGGCTAGCATTTCGACTGTCTCCCTCATTAGCCTGGGAGCCGGAAATTGGGGATTCATTCTCATCAATCAACATTTCAGACCTCATTTTGGTCCAAACATAGTCTAAAGCACCATTCAACCTTATTAGCCAACATCTATGAGAGTCTAACAGGGTATCTTCTGAGGTTCAAGATACCTAAGCAGGACCGGTCGGACACTTTGCATTTTGTCGCGTGAGCTCCTTTTGTTTAAGGTTTTCACGGTAAAACAGTTCGCTCTTCACGTCCTCAAAAGCTCAGCCTGTCACTTCTCTGAAACAATACCATACAAGTAGATTGACCCAGAATATTTCTAACAAAATGCAATTCCCAGAAAGATCGAAGAGAATGCCAAGAGCCAGATCTGAAGGATCTTAGACAAAGTTCCAGGGGTTAGAGGGCTGAAGAACAGGAAAAGAAGGACAGGGGGAGGGGCGTAGAGTTGAAGAAGAACGAGCTGTGGAGTTGTGCTAGTTTCTAAGCCTATAATTTCCCAAGAATTCTTGGTTCAGAAGGAGGGAAACATGTCGAGCTTTCTCACCACTATACCGCAGCATTTTCTGAGAAAATATGAAAATTGACAGCAGGCATCTCCCAAGTAAACAAAACAAGTTTATTGATTACATGAGTAAACATTCATGAAGAAAAAAATACAAAGACATTTAGACGTTATAACATGTATGGATGAAAGTGAGAACTCGTCCCGAATGGATGATTGACTCAGTAAGGTAAGCAATCGATCAATACACACAAAACATAACAATGTAAAGCATTCAAAAACACTGCAGTTAATCAATATGGATCAATATGGATACTGATTCTGTTGAAGCAATTCTGTAGGACAGAATAGGAATGTGGAGGGAGTGATATTGAGAGGGGGGGGGATGAAAATAAGGGCTTTTCCGGAGGAATATTCTTGTAGACGTCAGGGTGAGCAGCTTAGGCGATCACATGCTCAGGGGTTCTTCGGATGAAGCAGTACCATACAGCATGGATATAGGCAGGTATTATGAAGAAGAACATCAAAAACAGGCTGACCACCACGTGGATGTTGCATTCATTCGCCTGTACGGCTATAGCGGCAGGCTGAAATAAAGCGCGTTAGAGTAAATAAACATATTATATAAACAAAATAAACAACGCCCCGCATCTTACGGTAATTCGTTTTTGTAGTGACTCGATGATTTGTTAAGTGCTGCGCCGCAGTACGCGATACAAGTGTCTCACAAGGTTGGCGATTTGTGGACAAAACTTCAGTCTCAGACGGGGCTCGAACCCGTATTTTTGCTATCCGGGCACGGTGCTCTTGCCCCTTAAACTACCGAGTTTTTACTAGTACTTCATGTCCCTGCCGCGAGGTACTCATTTGCGGCCAACCTTCCCAAGTTGCCCGTCTTCACTAAGGGTTCAAGCCCAGCTGCTAGGGAATACCTGGGGACATTTCCTAGACCTGTCACTTTCACTGGGTCGGCAGTAACGAGCTGAGAGCTTCATAACTGCAAAGATAGGCTCAACCAGAGCTTGACGTGCTAAGAGTGCTTGCTTCTTCGTTTCAATATTCAAGTTCCCCGATCGCCTGGGTGTGGGTGGCGGTATTTCAACCTGACTCCCACGAAAGGCGGCAATGGTTTTGAGGCAATTACAGTGACCTTCTACTGGGAAATGAAATCCTACTTTTCCTGGCGCCCGTTTGGGTGGAGGTCTCACACTTCGGTTTTTCTACCCAAACCCACGTGCCGCGCTCGCTACTCCCCTACGCACGTGATCCTTCACTGCAACTTGATTTGAATTCGCGTAAAAACGCCGCCAGCCGACAAACCCACGCCCAGCTTCCCTCGCCATGGGAGCTCATTCCCAGGTGATGAGACAGCGTCTGCATGTCGTACTTGTATTATAGTACCGTTACCGTGTAGAAAATGTTTTTATAGGTTTTCTGTGGTGCTCTACTTTCCTATGAGACTCATTCGGATTGAGATCCATAGCTGAGAGATGGAGACGACGAAATCTATGCGCCATGCGCCTATGTATGTGTGTAAATCGTTGGTGCTGGGCTCTAATGAGCTCAGATATTTGCTCCGACCTCATGTCTTATTATTAGGCTTGAGATAATGTTCGCGGAGTTATAATAACTGTGGAACTGCCGTTTGAACACAGGCCCATCAAGGAATACTCTCATTTGCTAATTGATCGAGAATTCAAAATTACGTAGTGGATGAAACCGACGGAACTTAGGAAGGTTATATTAAAAGGGTAACTGATATTGATAGGGCGATAAATTTGAAGGGTAGAAAAACATGTATTTAAATCATTTTACCAACAGCGAGTCAGGGCAGGTTTTAGGAAAATTTGAAAATGAAGATGAAAAAAAAATCAAAATACCCGTAAGGCTGACCCGCCTAAAAAGTGGACCTTTTTTTTTTTAAATCTGCTAGAACCTGTTCTGACTCGCCTTTTAGGGAGAGGCTTAAGAAATGTTTTCTGTCCTTTGTTTTCTGTCCACCTCATCTCGGTGACATTTCGGTTTGCCACTTTCTACCCCAATGGCTCCAGGATTACGGAAGGAGTTCGATGCTTTTCACAACTAGATATGATGTAACTTACAGGGAATACGATAATCAACACGATGATGAGTATCGTCTTGATGAGATCATCGCGTCGTCGATTGTCTACAACGAACACTTGTCCTTCTGACGCCTTTTCCGACATTCTGAAATAATTGTTGGATAAAAAGATTTAAGAGCAAATTGTACGAGATGCAGACGTACAAGAGCACATGAGGAGTCGACAACGAGGAGGTGACGAAGAAATAATAATGGCAAAAGCTTGAGCGACTCAATTACATGAATGACAATCAATGTATGGGCCAACGGATTTCTTGGAAAAAAAACTAGCACTACAATTGTAACTCCGAAACTACGAATGCCTGAAAGTAAGAATAAAACCCCAGATCGCGTGTCATAGCCGAGTCTATTGAAAACGCGTTTTCNTTAGTCTGTTTAAGCGCCGGTCGCTGGGAGCGAAATGGTTATCTCCACAAGAAAACTACACTTGCATAGCGCACAACAGAATTACAGATAAATTAGGAATAGTAATCTCACAGGTATGGGTTGAGGTGGCGCAGTGACAAGTCGCCCAGTATTACACGGATCGATATCCACCCGAACGAACTAGAACTCCCTCTAGTGTCGTGTCATCGTTATCATACCCGTCTGGGAAGACAAAAACACTGACTTGCATCCAGGATGTCCACTGGAAGTCTTTGCATAGCCGCATACTCATTCAAAACACCAGGAATGCGAGGAGCACAATGTCCCACAGGGAAGTGTTATACAATATTTCGAGACGAAATACAAGGGTAAATTACTACAATTACAGAACCTCCACTTCTGGAAAACTGGAAGTAACCCAAACTCCAACATGGGGTAACCTCGAAGGACTGATAAGCTAGACTTGCATCAAAAACGAAAAAACGATTGCAAATAGAATTCCAGAGCATGGCCCAACCGCAAGTAATTTATCAGCCCCATAGNCGTTTTTTAGACTCGTCCCTAGGTAACAAGAAGGTAAGAGCTTGATATACATCGCTATTGATGGGGGTGATCTAAAGAATAGCTGAGCTAAACAGTAACACGAAACAAGAGGATTACTAGTATGCCAAGCTACGACGGAACGATACAAAAAGAAAACAAGCTCAGGCAATCATCAGCTCCAGGAAAGGCGTTGGACACCATCACGAATGTGACACGATGAACGGATGACAACTAGCCTCTATCATTTTGCACATCTTAAATTCCCATGTGCCTTTACATCAATTTCGACGGCCTTTTTTTCAGAGGTATCCGCTGTAGACGAGAGGGAGCGCCGTTTTTTCCAAAATTGGCTGTTCCAATGCCTTGGAGTGATGCGAGTACGAAAATCGACCAAGCGGCTGCGTACATGCAACATATACCAAAATCCTGTTGGAAACAATCTAATAAGGAATAAATTTTCTAGAAGAGAATGATCTGCTAGACTCATCCACCAACTGGTCAGAAACTGAATGTCAATTGAGTTTCAGTTACCGAAAGTAACCGTGATGTTACCTGTGGGTCGCTTGAATCTTAATAAGTCTATCCACCACTCCAAGGGCAGCCCACCCACAAACCTTGCCCACGATTTAGTCTCTACTTCAATCGACGAAAGAATAAACAGGACGGAACAATTCTTGCTCATCACATAGGATTATCAGGGGATCTTTTTAGTCGATTTGCCCCATCCATTTGTGATGTGCCCCCCCCCCTCCCCACTCGACTTCCATTCAGAACCGTAGTGGCGTTTCAAATGCATCTGTGGACACTGCTAATACTTGTAATGGCCACCCAAGGGCTTTCATCCTCCCGGGCAAGTCTAGTACCAAACTAACCAACCCTGTAGGGATGGAAGGCTCGATCCGCTCAGATCCTGTTTACCTCCACTTGGAAAAAAACAAAAGTACCAGCGGCTAAAGGCTGAAATAGGGTCCTACGAAGAAGCTCCGGGTCGTCCAGGTCCATTAATCTTCTCTATTAGCTACAATAAAATTCACAAGGCTAAATGCTAAAACGATGGTGGACAGGGCGATGATGTTGAGTGACTGACGATGATATTGTGAGATAGGGACCGGTTGAATACAGTAAGGGCTTAGTAAGTGCACGTGAGTGCACAAGCAAGTTAGTGCATTCAAAGGACTAGAAGGTCTTGGTAGCCCTAGCGACTAATAAGCCGTTATGGGAGCGAATAATGAAAAATACCTCAAAAACTGAGAACCCAAGCTCAAAACGCAGAAGCTCCTGAAAGAATTGGTCAGATTCAGACAAAAATGAAGAGTGTATCGGTCGTGTCTGGTTTCACGGTTACTACACAAAAGAGAATTGGTTTTCCGTAAGCAGTAAGCCGCAGAAGTTTCTCGTAGTATTCACTTTGAAGCCCTAAGGGAAGAAACGATAGAACGGCGACGACGTATCGAATCAGACGAAATATAATACTCTGCGGTATGGTGTCAGGGGGTATTTTCCGAAAGAAAGCATAAGTTCCAACGGCCGCCGCTCAAACACCACAAACCTGCTTTGCAAAACAACACATAGATCAGGCGGGTTCTATTTGCCCCGTCTTTCGGCAATAACCACACTCAATCACAGTTATTAACTAGTTTCGATGAGGAGTAAGGGCAATAGAAAGACCCAAATCGATACAACTCTTACGATAACCCTTAACAAAAGTTCATGCACTAACAGTTCCGGAGTTTCTCGAAGTTTTCGGAGGTACCGGTCAGATTACCCGGTTTACTCCGTGCCCCTCTGTTTATAGTGACAAAGTCGGGATGCCAGACTCAGGGCAATCCTCTTTCTAACAAAGTTGATGCAGCACTTTTGATTATTAAATTCCTGAAGAAGGAATGCCCTATCACAAATATGACCCTGATGGGAGAGAGCTCGTCACACCAACAGAGCAACGCAACTGGTATTTGATATTGAGGATGACGCTCACGCCCATGTACATAGATAGCTATGGGCCTTATTATTAATCGATAATGAAGTTTTCGATCATGGTTTAGTGGAAGGTTACGCTTTTACAAACGCATTTTCACGAGTTGGATTCCAGATCAATATTCGCCCAGGCCAACTGGTAGCCTTCCATACCTCCAGGTTCGGTTAACTGGTATCAGACGCGTCTGGGAGGATGAAAGCGCTGGCTTGTACATCGGCTGGCCACCGCAATTCATTGTATAGACCAAATTCGCATTCAATACGCCACTACAATTTTGAATGGAAGTCGAATGCGTGGACGCACCTCTCAGACGGTATTGATTAACGCCCCAAGAATTTAGACTTTGGACTTTTCTTGGGTCTACTGTAGTGACACTTTCACTTATATCTAACCATGGTAATCACTAGTGATGTTGAGTGATGATACATCACTACATATTGGAAGAGTCATCCCTACTCAGCTTCTATGCATCTGAACCATTGACCGAGGTCGCTAGTCCCTGTCCCTCTCCCATTGTCGATGGAATGTTGTCAAAAACGAGTTAGAAGACAAACGACTATACTCCATAGATAGGAAACAGATGACTCAACATTAAAACGGTCTCTGCACTTGTCAAACAGACCCAAAGAAGATGATAAAACCTCGCCATATGGAGAACGGTGGCGAGACGAATATTGTTGCAAATGATATCAAATCAACGAGAAAAGGCGTTCCCTAATAAGGCCCCGGAACTTTGATGACGTAGTGATAGCATCTGGTAGCAAGAGATGAACCAAATTCTCTATCCACACATGGTATTGACCCTTATCAGTGCTTATCACAGCTGTTGCCCCTTTTTGACATTCCACAGCTTCCATGATGCCATTCTGCACAATAACAGACTAAGGTCCCAAGACCCCATTCCCAAACACCACTGAAAGCACCAGAAACATGATGACCCTTGCCTTCTTACATACTCGAAATGGCGTTTATCAGCTGTTATCACTTTCTTTCACCAATTTATCACCTGGGATCCCGCCACTCCCTACATCACATTAAAAAGCATGTTACTCGGTTGTCGGGGTCGTAAATGGCTAACAACTGGAACTGATAACATCTGAAAAGGGCTACTAGAGGACGATCGAGTGCCAGAGTTGCTTGAACCTTTTCGTTAGATAGGAGGAGTGCAAAAGTGCCAGGTGATTTTGAACTTCGCCCTTTTGCAGCACTTTCCAGATGTTATCAGTTCCCGTTACCGCCACCGACATATCCCAATCTACCTAGAGCACAGGAGAGTTGTACTGAAGGCCCTGTCAACGTTTATCCCTAACGAGGCCTTCATAACTGAGGCTCTAGGGTCCATTTTATGAGTAGTGTCCTTCGTTGACCAGTCCGAGGCTCCATTATGTGGGCATGAAACGACGTGAACATGACATATTCAGCCATAAAAATCGAAAATTACCGGAAACAGGTGGTGGTCCAGGCCCCTAGAGGACCGTTGGTCGCCTAATATTGGAGATGGATCGATGTAATTCGATTTGTCCAGTTCAATGAAAGATTTTGTTCATTTTTTCCACTTCAGAAGAAGATGATAGACGAAAGGTTAAAAGATAAAAGTTCAAGTACGTTTCTCAGGTATACGCCATGCACTATATTCCTTCGGAGAAGATACAGAAACGTTTGAATGTGTACACGAGTAAAAAATAATATTTTCAAGATTTTCAATATAGATTCAAGACATTCACGGTTTAAGATATTTTCTGCGAGGCCATATGACCTTTCACCGTCAAGGGGGATCTTTTAAAAAGAAAAGGAGGGTCTCATTGAATAAGTATAAATGTCTCTTGACACTAGACCAGCTCAGGCCAGCCTTCAATTGGGAGCTGATTCGTTAAGGTCCCAAGAAGCCTTAACATCACTTCCCAACTTAGCTCTGTTCTGGGGGAGCGGAACATTCTGGGAAGAGAAGCAGGCTTTCCTCAACACTATACAAAACGACAGACAAACTGGAGGAAGAGAAGAAGAGGAATGTTGATGACGGCTGCTCAAACGTCGTGAATGGTAATGACTGGACGACGCGAGACGATCGGCACGCCAATGACTCAGTCACTCCCTGACGACTGGCGGGCGACCTTGGCCGTTGTCCTTCCAACGCGAAGCGAAGTGGAGGACCCACAAAGAGATGTTATCAGTCAGCTGTCAGCATAGCCATAGAAGACATC